AATTCATCCCACCGACTACAGTCATTCCGACCATTGTCGCCAAACAATGGTCCTCCTAACCTCTGCAACCGAACTACAGTCATTCTGACCTCCGTTTCCCGTCGACTATGGTCTTTCTAACCTCCGTCGTCTACCGACTACGGTCCTCCTAACCTCCGTAACCCAATTACGGTCCTTCCGACCATTGGCATCCGACTACGGTCCTTCCGACCTCCGTCACCCACTACATTACTTCCGACTTTCATCACCAGACAACGGTCCTCCCGACCTCTGTCGCCCGCAAACTACTGTCCTTCCTTCTGAATTTCGTTTCTTGCCGACTACAGTCCTTTCAGACCACCGTTGCCTGTCAATTACGGCCATTCTGACTACCGTCGCCCAATTACGGTCCTCCCGACCCTCATCGTCAACCAACTACGGTCCATCTAACGACCTTTATCAACTACGGTCCTTCTGACTACCATTGCCTGCTAACTACGATCCTTCCACCAACTATGGTCCTTTCGACCACCGTCGTCTGACTACGATCTTTTCAACCTTCGTTGCCCGACTACAGTCCTTCTGATCACCGTCATCCGACTACGATTCTTCCGACCTACATCGCTCGCCTGCTATGGTCTTACCGCCCAAACGAACATATCAACACTGATTCTTTCAACTCTTACCATATAATGCACTCTATATGATGTATATTTGCTACTTCGAGCCAAAACCTTCCTCATAAGGAAGGGTCTCATTTGTAATCAATTGCAAGCATTAGTGGATTCATTCAAACTGGGCCTAGCCCCGTTGTTTTTCCCCTCTTTTCAGGGGTTTTCACGTAAAAACTTTGGTGTCTCTTATGAACGCTATACTCATGTTCTTTTATCTGTTTGTGTGTTGGATTTTCGTACAAAGCTAAGACACTAAACTATATCACTCTTTACTACCGTGAATATTCCAGGACGCAAAAAGTGCATATATATAAATGAATAAAGTTAATATAAAAAAAGAAAATTTTGAGGAGTATATTTAACTTACGAGGATAAAATCATAAATAGAAACATATATATAATTCTAATTTTAAGAGTTAGTGTTAGAAAGTACAAAATTGAAAATAACATTATAGCAACTACTAAAGTGATTAATCATATACATATAGGCCTGTGTGGCTCTGCTGTGGCTCACTATTGATTTGATGATTATAAACCTTATGCGATATCATCTATAATAATTCATTGAGTGTTTTCTTAAGGTCTTTATTTTTTAGCAACCATTGAGATGAAGATTGAAGTTCTCTAAGCAACTTTGAGGATTCGTCACTTGGAGAATGAGCTTATGAGTACAAGATAAGAAGACTCAAGTAAGGGATCAAGTATATAACAGTTTTGTAGCTTAGCATATGTGTCTTTAAATTCATAGTTGATTTATTAAGTTTTTTTTACCAAAGGTCTCAATGGTATAGACAATAGAGCACAACTAAAATTGATTAAATTCTATCTTGATTTTTTTCAAAATATATTTTAGATATTATAAAAAACTTTTTTCATAACTGTTTGGATTTTTTGGTTGACTTTCTATTTTCTTGGATTGTTTCATTTTCACTTATATGTGAAATTATTTTAATTTTCATTTTATTTTATGATAATGTATTTAATTTACGCATCATATGATCATTGATAACATATGATTGTTTGCAAGTTTACGCAATCTAAAATATGCTTATATTCACTATATTTGCTAAATAAGGCTTTATATGTTAATTATGACATTATTTTGTTAATTAAGGAAATTGAGCTTAATTTAATATTATGAATATTTCCTTATTATGTATTTTATATATTGGCAAATTAATTAATTGATCATGATTAATATATTTCGTTAAATTTGCTTAATAAGGTTAAGCGGGTCATAATTGTGATTAGATAGAAATTTATGCTTAATTCTGAGTACATTGAATTCATGAATTCTTCGTATAAAATATCATATATAATATGTCAATTTATAATTATATAGTTGTTTAAAACAATATTTTATCATTATTTTTCAAAATTTCATCTTATAGACATGTAGAACCAACTCACATTGGAGCCGGTACGACGTGCTCAAATCAAGGTGCCAACATGACCTAATAAACAATCTAATGACTAGTTTGACTAACTCTCAAGGTTTCCTTTTGATGTGTTGGGTAGCTGTTTGGAATGCTTCTTTTGAGTTTATGAGAATATTTTGAGATATTTTTAGGGTTATTTTAAGGGGTTTTTAAGTTTGCAAAAAACTCAAGCTTGCATTGTAAATTCATTTAGGGAGGAATTTTGAAGAAATTTATGGCCCTTTTGGGAACACTTTTATTTTTAATTTTAAAAAACATGTTTGTTTAACGTGTCTTAAGACTATTTATTTTTTTTTTAAATAAATCAATTTATTTTTAAAATGACTAAAATCTATTTTGAGATATTTTGAGTGTCTTTATATACAACTTTCACAACTAACCACTGCCTCCACCATCATCGTCGTCTACCACAGTTTTTGCCACCTCATCAACTGCCATGTTGCCCCACAAACAATCGCCGCCACCACAAAAAAAATCAAATTATTTGATATTTAATGAAAACCATAAACAATATATCCTAAAGATACAAAATGTATTTTATTTCATTTCAAAACATAAATAAAATGAAAAAAAATGTCCCCAAATTGTCTCTTATGTTACATCACATGAAAAAAAATGTCCTTAAGGAGTTTATTTTGGAAAAATCTAACCGCTTTCAAAGTTCTTTTTCATTTTTGCATTTTCTAATAATTGTATTAGAGATTTAATTGTAATATTTAATTAGGTGATTGCCTTGTGTCACCTTCAACAACAACAACAACAACAACATCAAGCCTTTATCCCACTACGTGGTGATTGCCTTGTGTCACCTTCAAAGTACAATTAAAAACTTTAGTTTTGGTATTTTCTTAACCTTAGTGATTAAGCCAAGTGGTTATATATGGCAAACACTTGTACATTCTTTTGTATTAGCTTCTCATTTCTTGTGCATCATAACTCCAATTGTATACTTTTTTTTTTACTTTTTTTTCCTATAGTTGTATACCTGTGTACTCATTGATAAATTATTTGCTCCTATAATATTTTTAATTTGAGAGTTCTGAATTAGGACTATTTTGAAAGAACAAATTAATTCACCTATCTCTTGGTGTGCCCTTGACCAAAAGATTGATGGTGACATACAAAAAGATTTTAACAGAATTGACTTGATATTAGGATAGGAGAGGATGTGTCAACATAATCATCGATCTATAAATTTGAGGACAACATTTAACAACAAAAATACATACTGATCAATGGAGTTGTCAAGATAAAACTTGATGGTGTAGACCCATAAACTTGCTATCGATTTAATGCCTGGTTGAGTGGTCACCAGAGCCCATATTTATTTTTTTAAATTGAGATTTCAATATAAATGCATGTTCCCATTAGATATCTAGTAATGGCTCATGATATAACAACTAGGAACATGTGACAAAGACACAATAAAATGTTAGAAGAGTGAAAAAAGATAGGGACATAAAACTAAATAGAATGATCAATATAACATCTTTTACTTTTTTGAAGAGTAACATGCGCATGGAGATCACAAAATTCTCCAGGATGGGGATGCACAATAGCTTTTGACAATATGATTGGAGGTTTTATTGTAAATGGAAGATGAATTCTCAAGGATTCATATGGCTCATGGTATAACCCGGGAATAGGAACATATGACAAAGACAAAATAAAATGTTAGAAGTGTGAGAAAAGATAGTGAGAGGACATAAAACTGAATAGAATGGTCAATATAGTGTCTTTTACTTTTTTTAAGAGAAACATGCGCATGGAGATCACAAAATTCTCCAAGATGGGGATGCGCAATAGTTTTTGACAATATGATTGGAGGTTTTATTGTGCATACATGGAGAGAGGAGGAAGTATAGTGGCTCTAGTTGGAAGAGGTACATGTGGAGAAGATATTATAGAAGAAGGATTCATAATTAGGAGCTTTTATTATGTACGGATACTAGATGGGAGAACCGTCCGGGTAAGCAGCAGTACCCAGCGGTAGTGAGTGTCGGTACCGAGCTGGGTACCCAGCAATGGGGTGACGTGACACATTTTTATTGATCTCCGGACGCCCTCCGCACTCCGCATAGAATAATAAATACATAATTAAGTAGTACACACCAAGACCGTTAAGAGTTCTTTTCCCAAGAGCTTCATACAACAACTCCGAGGAATAAGAATCTAAATTGAGATTAACAATCTTATGCAATTCTTACCCAAGCATCTCTTGGACACTCTAAAAAATCTTTCACACGTTCGCTCCAATCTCTCTCTCCCACTCTCTTAAATTATTATAAGAACACACAAGTAGTTCCTGTTAACCTTATTGGCCTTTAGGCTGTAGGTTCTAACCATAGCATTACAGAAACAATCCAGAGAGAAGAAAGTGGAAAAGTAATAAGTTGTATTTCTTGTCTTGTATCTACCGTATACATTGCTTTATATAGAGGATAAAGGAAACAGCCTCCGTACAGTTCTTTAACATAATTGTACGGCTGGTTTATTCTAAGAAATACATTATTTAATGTTTTATTCATATCTGTTAATATACTCCCTCAAACTGAAGTCGCTGTGTTGACAATTAGTTTGCTAGAAAGGTATTTGAAACGAGATATGGATAAAGGTTTAGTAAAATTATCGGCTAATTGATCTTTGGTCGATATGTGATAAATCTGTATTGAGTTGTTTTTGATGTGATCCCGGATGAAGTGACAATCGACCTCAATGTGTTTGGTCCGAGCATGATATACAGGATTGTTTGCAAGTGCTATCGTGGAGATGTTATCACAGAATACGGTTGTGGGACCGTTTGAGGGATATCGAGCTCCTTCAGGAGCTGTCTTAACCATAGAGTTTCGGTTGTAGTAGTAGCTATCGCCCGATATTCCGCTTCCGTCGAGGATCGCGCAGTCGTGCTCTATTTCTTCGCACACCATGAGATCAATGTGGATCCCAGAAAGTTACAGTACCCTGTAGTCGACTTCCGATCCTGTACATCTCCGGCCCAGTCCGAGTCAGTATAGGTGCTGAGTTGAAGATTGCCGGGAGAGATGGGTATGCCATAGTGTATTGAGCCTCGCAGGTATCGCAGAATTCTCTTCAGTTTTTCAAAGTTGTCGACCGACGGTTGGTGCATGTATTGATAGGCTCGATTTACTGCATAGGTGAGGTCAGGTCTGGTGAGAGTAAGATATTGGAGAGCTCCAACGATCTGTCGATAAAGTTTGGGATTATCGAAATCCTTTGAGGACTCAGCCGTGGTTGATTTTGTTGTTGTGGGAGTTGACACTGGTTTGCAGTTAAGCATTCCCGCCCGTTGTAGTATTTGTTCTGCATATGTAGATTGGTGCAGAATGAGTCCAGTTTTCGTCTGTTTTGCTGCAATGCCAAGAAATTGGGTGACAGTACCGAGATTTTTCATTCTAAAGCGTTGATGTAAACGAGTGAGTAAAGAATTTAGTGAGTGAGAGTTGTTACCAGTCAGTATTATGTCATCTACATAAATTAGAAAGTACATGAATATACCATTCTTGCGATAGATAAGAAGAGAAGTATCCGACTGACTGGTAGTAAAATCTAGCTCATGAAGAAAACCAGTTAGAGTTTCAAACCATTTTCGTGGTGCTTGTTTGAGACCGTAAATGGCCTTTTTGAGCTTGCATACGTGTGTTGGAAAGTTGTCGTCAAGAAAGCCGGGAGGTTGCTTCATGTGCACCGATTCCGTTAAAGATCCGTGAAGAAATGCGTTGGAGACATCCAGTTGATGTAATGGCCAATTATGGTGTAGGGCTAAGACAAGAAGAATACGTACCGTTGGCATTTTGGCAACCGGGCTAAAAGTGTCGTGGTAGTCGATGCCAAATTCTTGGTTACAGCCTAAGGCTACAAGCCTGGCTTTGTAGCGAGCCACTGTACCGTCTGAATTTCGTTTGGTTTCAAATGTCCATTTGCAGCCCAACGTGTTCTGAGTTGGCGAGGGTGGGACCAATTCCCAGGTGGCTTGGGATTAAAGAGCTTGAAATTCCTGAGACATGGCTTGACGCAAGTGAGCATGCTTCACTGCCTGAGAATATGAAGTGGGGTCTGCCTCCGTTATCTGATGCGTTAAATCAAGAATGCGTATGGGTTTTAGATTTCCAGTTTGAAAGCGGGTACGCATTGGATGCTTGGGTATTTCATGGGGTAGCAGATTCTGAGAGAGGTTTTGGTTTGTGTTGGAGGAACTAGAATGCTCAGGTGTAGGTTCGGCGTGAATGGGTTGAGGTGAGTTGTAACTGGTGCGGTTATAAGGCTGAGTGTTGTGAAGTAAAGTGGACGGAACTAGCAGCAGTGGGGGAACGAAATTGTGTTTGTGAGTATCGCCCGTGGTGTGAGTGAACTGATTCTGCTGAAAGGGAAAGACACTTTCATTAAATACAACGTGCCTTGAGGTATAAACTTTTCTTGTAGCAATATCCATACATCGGTATCCTTTCTGGTTTAAGGCATAGCCTATAAAAATACATGGACGGGACAGAGGAGTTAGTTTGGAGTGAACATATGGGCGAAGCCAGGGATAACACAAACACCTGAAGATCTTCATGTGAGAATAGGCGGGGGGATGGTTGTATAATTGCTGGAATGGGGTATTGTTGTTGAGAGTGCTTGTAGGAAGACGATTAATGAGGTATATTGCGGTGTGCAGCGCATCTGCCCATAGTTGAGACGGAGCATGGCTGTGAATGAGAAGGCTTCGGACAGCCTCAAGGATATGTCTGTTCTTTCGCTCCGCAACGCCATTTTGCTGCGGAGTGTAGGGGCACGTGAACTGGTGATGGATGCCCCACTGTCGGCAATAGTTGGTGAAGGAGTTGTTAGCGTATTCGCCTCCACCATCTGTTCGAATCGTTTTAGTATTGATTGAAAATTGGCAGTTAATAAATTTGTGAAAGAGAACAAACAGTTTGGTAACTTCAGATTTTTGAAACATGGGAAAAATCCAACAGTATTTAGAAAAATCATCTATGAAGGAGACGAAATATCTATAGCCTTGAATAGAGGCAATAGGGGAAGGGCCCCAAACATCAGAATGCACAATTTGAAATAAAGCAGTAGTTTTGGACGTAGAAGTAGTAAAAGGAAGGCGTCGGCTCTTGGCCAAACAACATGTGTTACAATTATTGTGTGTGGATGTGCAAATAGTAGAATTTGTTCTAGCTAACTGTTGTAGAACCGGAGAAGCAGGATGACCAAGACGACTGTGCCATAAGTCCGGAATGATTTCAGCCGAGAGCAGAGCTAAATGCTGATTTCGAACCTTGGAGGGGACTCTGTACAGACCGTTATGGCATGGCCCTTGAAGCAGAAGACGATGCGTCTTCGAGTCTTTTATTTGATAACCATGAGAAGAGAAATAAACCACACAATTGTTATCTGTTGTTAACTGGTGAACCGAAAGTAAATTAAAAGAGAGATTGGGAACGTGATGAATCTTGTTGAGACAAAGTTTACCTGTGGGAGTTGGGAGAAGGCCTTTACCTGTATTCTGTATCGGAAGAGATTGGCCGTTTCCCAAAATTACCTGAGAGTTGCCGTAATATGGTTCTGTTACAGATAGCTGCGATTGATCCGTCGTGAGGTGAGATGAAGCTCCACTGTCCAGGAACCAATCAGTTGATCTGTTGTTATCGGGGGCCGAGAACAATGCTGAAGTATTTGAGTTATCGGAATAGGCTGGATCATTGTGATACCAGCAACAAATCGCAGAGTGTCCCGTCTTCGAGCAGATCTGACAGGTGGTGTTTATGTGGGGATTCTTGTCTCCTCTTCCCGTGGGAGTGGATTGTCTACGACCTCTGTTACCTCTGTAGGTATTGTTCCGGCCTATAGCACGGCCTCGAGAGGCAGCGAAGGCGACAGAATTGTCAGTGATCTGCATGGTTTGCAAATCTTTGGTGGCTTCTTGAAGTAGAAGCTGTTCTTCACTGCATAGTAGGCTGTAAAGATCATCAAGAGAGAGAGGTTGGAGGTTTGTTCGGATAGCTGTCTTGAATGATTGGTAGGAGGACGGTAAGCCGTTGAGCGTGTATAGTATCACATCCTCTGGATCGATAGTGTGACCCATTTCTTGAATAGCATCAACCTTGGATTTGATTTCCAGGAGATATTGGGTCATGGATTTATCTCCTTTTGACAGATGATGCAAGTCATTCTTTAACTGAATGATTCTTGATCGGGTAGTGGCTTGAAGGCGATGAGCGAGGGTGGACCAAATTTCATGACAGTGAGTGAGATCAAGAACGTAGGGTAATATGGAGGGAGTGATTACAGAACATAGAGCGGCAGCTAGATGTTGATCGGTAAGATTCCAGAGTTCGAGCGCCGATGGATTGCCTGAAGTGGACAATCCGGTTGTCGTTGCAGAAGGCAGAGGACACGGAGTAGTTCCGTCAAGAAAGCCTTTGAAGCCACTAGCTGTGAAAACCTTTTCGGTCTGAGATTTCCAGAGCGGATAATTATCCGCCGCGAGGGAGGTGAGGATCAGATTCTTGATGTTGTTCATCAAGAATTTGAGTTGAGTTGGAATCGCCATGGATGAGATGGATGAGTTTGAATTTGCGGAAGGAGAAGAAACAGAGGATTCAGCCATGGTGAGAAAGAGAAGAGGAAAGAAAAGATACGAACCAGTCGAATGGCTAGTCTGATACCATGTTAACCTTATTGGCCTTTAGGCTGTAGGTTCTAACCATAGCATTATAGAAACAATCCAGAGAGAAGAAAGTGGAAAAGTAATAAGTTGTATTTCTTGTCTTGTCTCTACCGTATACATTGCTTTATATAGAGGATAAAGGAAACAGCCTCCGTACAGTTCTTTAACATAATTGTACGGCTGGTTTATTCTAAGAAATACATTATTTAATGTTTTATTCATATCTGTTAATATACCCCCTCAAACTGAAGTCGTTGTGTCGACAATTAGTTTGCTAGAAAGGGAGCCCTGTGGCAAGGTTGAACGTCGCGGCGTTGGCAACTAAAATTTTTTTTTACATAATAAAGATGTAAATCTATTTGCCAAAAACCCTCACCCCATTTCCTCCCAACTGCTTGTCGGAGAAGGAGAAGAAAAAGGAGAGGAGTTCGGAGGTCATGGTGCAGGATTTGTTCGTTAGGTCAGTTAGGAGATTCATTCTATTCAAGTTAAATTCCCAATACCCTCTTTCAAATTTTAATTCAGAGATTTTTGTGAAAATTTATGAAGTAATAATGCATTTTAATGAGTATAACAAATTTTTTATCGTGTGATATTTTGTAAAATATTTTATTATTGTCATTTTAACTATAAGAAATCAATGTTTCGCCAATTGATTTCTTTTATATAAATTTTTGAATTTTTTTCTATTAAACTGGCAATTTTGGCATTGGATGTAGTTCATCAAAATCCTGAAACGTTATTCTAAAGATTTCTTATAAGTGGTTTTTTTAACGCAAGATCTGCTGCGTTGGTGCTGTTTTTCTGCTGTGACAGCTGATTTCTCTCTATTTTTGTACTAATTTCGGTTAGGTTTGCTTGAGAACTCAAGTATTACCTTAGGGTTACTTGAGAACTCAAGTATTTCCTATCAATATGTCAAGGGCAGGCTAAAGGGTGGCCGCGTGGATTGGCTAGGGCACACTTGCTGGTGGTGTTAGCAGCATCAAGGGTGACAAAGAGTGAGTGGGATCAAGAACTGTGTTGTTTTTTCCTATCAGTAGCCTCAGAGTCATAAATCCCTATGTTCCCCATTATATGATGGCTTTTTTTCTTAAATCATGTCTATTCTTCGTAGCTGGCATTGTTTGGTCACCAGGTTCTTTGTTAGCGTTGCATTTAATTGAAATTGTATACTTGCAACTGCTAAATATTGAATTAGTTTGGTGATATGTCCTTTTTGTTTTGCTTTTTGAAAAAATAGTTTGATTTATGTGAAAAACGCACAACTGGCTACCCCCACACTTTCCCATCCATCACTTCAGTGGAGATTATAAATGATTTAATTTTTTATAGCACATAATACCACAACATTACAACCATATAGCCTAACTATTTTAATTATTTTCATTCTTTTCCGCTGATATATGTGCTGGAAGCACTTGATATTGCAAATTAATTTTAGTGCTTGCTTGTCTGCTTCTTGTCACATATCTAGTGGAGCCTAATTTTTCTTAATTATTTTCATTCTTTTCTGCTGATATATGTCCAGGAAACACTTGATATTGCAAATTAATTTCAATGCTGTTTGTCTATTTCATATAGTTCAGCACAAGTTGGGTTATTTTGTATCGACTTGATTAAATATTTTACTTTGTAAACTCAATCATACGATGAAGATCAAAGTAAAAGGTGCACAATAGGTCATTCACAACCTTTCTGCTTGCAACAACCCAGCTGTTTATCTTGAGCTACAATTTAATAACTATTTATACAATCAATCTCATTTGATTATTATGGCACTATTATGGGCCATCGAAAGCTAGAAGCACAAATAGATTGTGTAGAGAATAACAAATTACTGCTTTGTCTCTAAACTTTTCGAACATGAAAGCCATCACCCTGAATCAAAATATTAGAAAGTGTGATCCTATAAACCATTGTATTCTGTTTAAAGCTTTCTGTGCAAATTTATGAGTAACTTACTCCATTGTTCAGGCTTTTGTGAATATTTTCACTCCTTGACGAATGCAGCATCATATGTTTGTTTCAAATTTTGTTTCTTCTGTTTCCAATTTTGTTTCTTGTGTCATTTGATATTAAGTGTTGCTAAGATGAGGATGTTCAGGTGGATGAGTGGATTTACTCTTAGA